TTTTTTTTTTTTAATTAGCAGCTTGGGGTGAGTGTCCACAGTGTCAAGGGCTCCCAGAGAAAGTTTTTGAAGCAGTTTTGAAGCCGTTTTTCAGTGTCCTCCTAGGGAAGCTTGAGTTCGCTTTTACAGAAAACATTATTTTTCCCACTTTCTGGCTGGCTGTGCTGCATGATTAAATGGTTGTTGACATTTAGGTTCTTTTTGGGATTGCCATTAAATACTTCCAAAATCCTTTGCATGCAGTTAGTAAATTTATAAGGCAGTGAAATAACCTAYTTGGATGTGAGGACTCAGGCTGTCATCTCCTAGTTAAAATGTCTTTGTGGCCACTTTGTGTTGCTGCAGATGTGGCTCCCCATTTTTTTCTTATTATTACTTATTTCTACATATTAGTGTTTTAGATTTTTCCAGAAGTCTTGCGTTCTTCTGTTCCTGTTGGCCAAACAGTGACACAAAATAACAGACACAAAAACACACTAAAAAGAGGGTGAAAAAGAGAGAGAAAGAGAGAGAGAGTGAGTACTTTATTGTGGGACAAGCCTCTTTTATCCACTTTAGTAACTAGTGTGTGTATATATTTGTGTCAAACATACTTTGGTTAAGAGATAGCTGTTTAATTAATTATCAGGACATGATTGGTGAGTTTGCAAAAGCTACAGTATTAGTAATGTTTATAATTTCTAGCCACCTGCGTTATCAATTCTRCATTCYAATCTCCTTTTCTCAACAGTAGCCAAAGATGTGGTATTCTTCCTCCATGCAGGCTGTTAACACTCCCTTTCTTTTCCCAGGATTCAGTCATACACAATAATTGGCTGACTTTCAGATTCAGGGCTTGTGAGGCCACTTTTTTCCCCCCACATTCTTCCACCTATATTTTACTTTTAAAATAGTTTAAGAGTAACTCCACATAAGAGAACTGCTAAACTAGTTCAGTGTGAAGCAGTATACAATTTAACACACGTTAATATATATATATATATATATGAATATATTCATATTTCTAACTAAAAGTTGTCTTTTTTTATGGCTTCATTCCCCATAAAGAATGCCATTTTTAACCCTTGAGTGTGATATTTAGCACGTTGGGCCTTACACTGCGTAAACCTGTTGGAGGAACTGCTGATAGGAGCAGCTTGTTTGCTGCCCTGCCCTGCTCCTAATGCAGCCTGTGTCCATCATGCACTGCCCCTTGCTGTGGTTCAGAGGGTGCAGAGGCTTCAGGAGGCTGGGCAGAGCAGCTTGGGAAGTTGCTAAAATGGATGTGTTTGTCACAGGCAGACAGAGACCATGGCTGTGGTTGGTGGCAATGTTGATGGCC